AATTTGATTGCTGTTGTCCACTGTAATTTCCAAAATCATTGTAGTTCCCACCACCACCGTAGTTACCTGAAATTACAAAGGTTTTATTTGTAGTTGACCCACACAATAAATTATTTTTCTCTCTATATATGTTTTGTCTTCTGACAATCTTGGGAGCATGCTCCAGAACACTTAACATGCAACACTTTGAAATTTTACAAAGCTACCAAACTCCCTACTACAGAGGTCCACCAGAAGAATTCAGCATAGAAAGGAGAGAAGGAAACAAAGAGTGGAAGATGTACCAGAACACAGGTTATCTAGATAGCTACTATATTTTATGTCAGATGCTACAGCATAGGCATGTGCACTCTCCTTCATACCACTAACACCAAAATTGAGTCACTCTGGTAGTCCAACAAAACTCAGTGCATTCCTTACAAAGCTCTGAATCTGTAGGATCACAGGGTAACAACGCAGACTTGCTTTTGTGGTCTGCAATGTCCCTGTGATATATTAACACTCATCACCTAGGCTCCAGATACCCTATTCATTTAAACATATTTGCATACTCAATTTACAGTTCCCATTTGTCCTGCTTTAGAAGTATCTGAAATACAATTCTGGGAATACTTTACTGATAAATATCCATGTCAACAACATTAAGAGTTGAATTCATTTCACCAAATTGCGAAACAGCAAATAAGAAAATTTAGTTCAGTTACCCACCACTTGGGTATTTCTGTAGAAAATGAAATTTAACCAATTACTACATTTTATCACTTTTTCCAACGTGTAGTAAGATTATAAACAATTTTGAGTATTTAAAAGTGAAAGCTTACCACCTCCAAAATTTCCTCCTTCGTTGTAACCATCATATCCTCCTCCACCGCCACCATAGCCACCACCTTGGTTTCCATATCCTGGTCCACCACCACCATAGCCTCCTCTACTACTATAACCAGGACCACCACCATAGTTGCCACCTTANACATATAAGCCACTGGAAAATAAGCCAATCAGTCAGAACATTCTAAAGCATGGTAATAAAACAGAAAGAACCTGGGCTAATAGGATTTAAGATGCTTAAATACCTTTTGGCATTAGAAAAATTGTTACAGTTTTTCACTAAAGGGAATAGCAGTCTTGAGACTTAATTCCAACTCAACTTCTAGTTCAGTAAAACTTAACTAGCCAAAAAGAACTAATAAATGTTAAATGATTAAGGGGGAAAAAAGTCTAGTCTTACACGGTTTCAGTCTGAATCATTTAACAGTCAAGCCATTCAACTGAAACAGAAAAGTACAGACAGTCAAAACATCAATTTTTAAAACCTTACCATCACCTCCAAATCCATTATATCCACCGTCACCTCCTCCATAACTACCTCTGCTGCCACCACCTCCACCACCATAGCCTCCTGAGGAAAAGCAACGTATGAATTAGAAACACACATTCAACTTATGGAGAAATTTCAGGTTGACATGTACTCAGAAATAAGGTAACTGCCCTACCTCTTCCACCAAAGTTCCCACCACGGCCAAAGTTCCCACCACCTCCAAAGTTTCCTCCACGACCCATAAAGTTGCCAGATCCACCTCCACGACCTTTTAACATAGCCAAGAAAGAACTTTAGGAACCTTATAAATACCATTTACATCTATTGTCTGTGTATATATGGTATTACTCACCTCTTTGGGATCCAGCAGATTGCATTTCTTGTTTAGAAAGGGCCTTTTTCACTTCACAATTATGCCCATTAATAGTGTGGTATTTCTGAACTAAATTTTTTTTAATCAAACAAACAAACAAGAGTTATTTGATGTTTGGAAAAGCATATATTAAATGATATCCTTTACCACTACACAACTCATTAAGATATCAAGAAAGTATCAATGATAAAATGGGGATGAAAGAGTGTGCTAGGATGTTAGTATTTCTTGATCCTGATGCTGGTTACACAGGTGTAGTTGCTTTGTGGAAACTGAACCGTACACTTTATGTTATTAGGCACAATACGAAATTTTGAGCAACTAAGGAAACAGGGAAGCTATTTCTGCTCTCATTCAAGTTCTTTGAAATTGGTACTCACCAACAATTTTATCAACTGTGTCATGATCATCGAAAGTTACAAAAGCAAATCCTCTCTTTTTTCCACTCTGCCTGTCTTCCATAACTTCTATGGTTTCAATCTTGCCGTACTTTTCAAAGTAGTCTCTCAAATTATATTCTTCTGTATCTTCTTTAATACCACCAACGAAAATTTTCTTCACTGTTAGATGGGCACCAGGCTTTACAGAATCCTACAAATAAAACCTATGTAAGTCAAAACAAATTTTACAACTACTTCAAGTGTTACATAAAATGGTGTTAAAATACCTCTCTGGAAACAGCTCTCTTTGGTTCCACTACACGCCCATCAACTTTGTGTGGCCGAGCACACATTGCCGCATCCACCTCTTCAACACAAGAATAGGTCACAAAACCAAAGCCCCTGGAACGTTTTGTTTGGGGGTCTCTCATCACCTACAAGATAAAACATTTAAAGCATTGAAACACACACCTCCAGAGATCTTCTTACCCCTTGAGAACATTTTTTTGTTCCTTTAATCACTTACCACACAATCTGTAAGTGTGCCCCATTTCTCAAAATGTTCTCTCAAACTATCATCTGTAGTTTCAAAACTCAGACCACCAATAAACAGTTTTCTCAACTGCTCTGGTTCCTTTGGATCATGGCCCTGAGGAAACAAACCAATACATTTTATTTTTAGTAGGTGAACTGCAAAGAAAGATGCACAAGCCTTTAGTCTGCCACACATTAACTAAACATCAAATTCCTGTAAACACTTTGTCCAGTTAAAAATGGGGAGTAGAATCACACACATCAACTTACCAAAGGAACCGAATTACCAATACCTACAACGAGCCTTTGAAATGCCAACAGCACTTCAACTAAATTGAAGTCTAAGAATCAACTACAATCAAAAAGTCCCTTAATTTTAAACTAGAAGTGGGGATTATTTTGGAAGTTACTACCGAGAAATCATTTTCTAAAAAACCAGTGTTGTAGAAAAATGTGCTTCCTCCATGACATTTCTTTCATGGCTTCCCTTCAGTCTACACAGTCCGAACATCTGATCTTAAACCACAAAACTGTGAAGTACAACTTAAAAGTTCAGAGTAGCAAATTTAAGGAAATTCACCAGTTCAAGCAAATCAAAATGTTAAATAGGTATTCCTCAAAGGCCAAACCAGCACCCCCCTCAACCCCCCAAAAAAACTACGGTGGGAAAAACCCACCATTTATCTTGATATACCTGTCTGTACCCGATTTTTGTTGTTATATATACTGCAAGTTACCTATTGACACTTTTATCACCTAGCAAAAATTTCAAAAATATAGGGTGATAAAAAGGCAAGTTGGACTTTAGAACAGAGAAAAATGTAACAGTAAAATCAAAGTTGAGATTTCTTTTAAAAGATTAACATAACCTGAATTATTTTACAACTGGCTCTTTAATAAATTACATTGCTATTTAATGCATGCATTAAGATAATCGTTCAGCCAAAGTCCTTAAATAGAGGGGCTCACATTTACATTCTAATGTCTTCGTGGGTCTTCTAAAAGTAGAGATGTTAAGGCATTTAATATGAAGACTGTCACATGCTAGAAAAAAATGTTAAATCATTAATAGCTTACAGCATTAATTCACTTCGCCCCATCTTTTCACGTCTTGGTTAAATGCATTTGCATTACACAAAGTTGATAAAAAGAAACAATGAAAACCCACATAAAATTATCTCGCACACACCAAAGCTGAATTGTAGTTGCAATCCTCTGAAACAAAAACCCAAGAAACTACAACGAAAGCTGACCTGTCAGAAAATGGAAAAGATGGAAATAAAAAAATTTTCAAGTTCCTATTTTACATCTACACTCAAATTCTGACTACCTCACGTACATGGCTAGAACATTTAACCTAAAGTATTTTATCAAGAATAGCAAATAAGGATTTTAAAGCAGCAACCTTTTTAAAAACGTTATTTTCAACTGGGTGCTGTTAAGTACAGGTCAGATAATTTAATTCTCGTCGCCTTTGAGATCTGTAGGGCCTAGAAACGCGCCGGCAGAACTTCAGCTAAAAGACTAGGCCGCAAGTGCTTCGAGGCCATTTGCAGCATTTTCTGCCGAGCCGCCTTCTCCCTCTTCTTCTAATCCCGCGCTCCCTAACGGCGACGGAGCGAGGCGGCGGCCATTGCGGGCCAATGCGCCATTTCGTAACGCGGCAGCGGATCAATGTCAATGTGGCCGCCGCCCGCCTGCTCGCTCGCCCGGATGTGACTGCTCGTCCCCTCCCCTCCCCCACCGCCTCCTCCCAACCGCTCCCGCCGAGGCCCGCCATGCCGCCCTCGGCCTCGGATCTGGGGCCGCGCGGCAGGCGGGCCGGCTTCCCTGCTCCCCTCCCGCCATCTCCCCAGCCACGCCGCGCCTCCGAGCGGCCGCCTACGCAGCCACAGAAGAAAGCGAGGCGGGCAAAAGGCCCCGAGAAGGCCTCAGAAGCCCGCTCCCTTCCCCCTCCCACCGCCCGTCTCAACGCAGAGCGCGGGACGGCTAACGACAGTACCCCCGGCCTCCCCGCACCCACCGAGCCAGGCCCCCCACGCCGGCCACTACCCATCAACCCCCCGCTCTCCCCCTAATACCTCCTCCCCCCGGCGGCGGCGGCGACGGCCGGAGTCGGGCTGGGGGCGACCGGGCGGCGGTTTTACCTCCATTTTGAGACCGGACTCGCCTCTTCCAACTCGAGTTCAATATGGGACCGAGAGGAAGAGGCGGGGTCAGCCGTCACGTGACGCACTTTCCGCGCGCCGCCGGCCTGGCAGGGGAGGGGCGAGGTGGGACGGGGGCGTGACCAACTGGGCGCGAAGAGAAACTGGACGAGCGGATTGGTGGGCGGAGAGCAGGGGCGTGCCAGGACGCGGGAGCGCGCGCGCCTTGCCGACTTGCAGTGTGGTGCCGCCCTTTCCGCTGTTCGCGCCCGGGCGGCGGCAGGGACGTCAGCTCGGGCACGGCCAATGGCAAGCGCCCACGTCGGGAGAACTCCTCGTGACCGCGCGTCACCAGAGTAGGCCTTTCTCTTTCTTCTCGCACTTTTATCCCCTCCCCCACGTAGGCCTCTAGGTCTCCATTTCCTAATTCGTTTCGTTCCGGTGCCTGAGTAAAACCACGCTAATTTCTCCTGTGGTTCAAGGTTGCAGGGAAGACCTCTCGGCCCTGCGCCATCTCCTCTCACTTTTTTTCTCATTGCCAGGGGCCGTTTCTGTGATTGTGATGCCCCTAAGGGGGCCCGCTCCGAAAACCCTGGGACGCTGACACACCTGATTTTTGGACGCCTTGAAAGGCCTCTAAACGCAGCTGACAGAGAGAAATCTCACTCCTAACGCGCTGAGGCAGAACTGGTCGAGGGCAGTTCATTAGGTACTTAACTGATCTCCAGAAAACTGTCGGCGCGATTTTCTAACACTTTTAGGTACTGGAGAATGAGCTGAAGCAAATGTTCTTCTGGACATAACTTAAGCAATGATTTACAAGATTTCTTTAAGCGGAATCGACACATGCGCTACCTGTTCGCAAGTGTTTACAATTACGTTGTGAAGTATAATGAACGAGATAATTGAGTTAAAAACTTTAAATCTAATCCTTTACCAGCCTAGGCAAATGGTTTTAAATCTTAAGACCTTACTGAGCTTTAGTTTCAGGGGCTTTTTTTTTTTTAACGAAAATGGGAATTAGATTAGGTGAGCTCTAACACCCTTGACAGGCTTGATCTGTAAATCCATATTTAAACAGGTAATGATGGAAGTGACGACAATGAAGTCTCCCTACCCTGCTAAGAAATGCCTTTATCTTAATGTAGCAATCCATATGAGCAGCCTTCTAGAATTCACCAGGCTGTCCCTTGGAAATACTGGAAATCTAAAAAAGTACATGGTAAATTGGAAAATTTGTGTTAACGAATGGAAAATGGTCAGCTTGGAGTTTGGCAAAAGGATGCACAAAGAATAACTTGCTGAAGTTTATCTAGCATTGCCTGTGTGAAACAGGTGTTTTAATTGGGATACATGAACAAAAGGTCCTCTGTTGCAGGGCAGAAACCATTCACCATCGCCTAATGTAACAGATGAAATAACTCCTGTTATTAGCTTCTTCGTGTTGCTCTGCTTCCATTACTACACGCAAACTTAATGTATTTTGTTTATCAGGTGCCAACAACAGTATTTAAGACAATTGTGAAAATGTGTACCCTTAGTGTCTCATTAATATATCAAAGCTTTGTGAGTTTAATTACTATGAAATAGGAGTACCTTGGTCTGAGTACAGAGAAAAACAAAGACCTTAGGAAGATGGTATTCATGCCAGGATACCAAGGGTGATCAAAAAACTTGGCTTAGCTTTAGGGCATGATTGTCTAGGTGTTTCCTAACCAGGTTATTTCTGATCAAAAACTTATATTTTTCTTTGTTAAAAAGTATCAAATTCTTAAATTAATTTTTAAAGAAATGATGGAGGATGGGATACTGAATACTTCCATCCAAGTACATGGTTAGATGGTCCATTTATTCAGGTCTTTTGACTTTCAGTTTGTCTTGCCAATGAATTTCAGCCCTGGGCAAGTTAACTACGGATTCAGTGTGACCAAAGAAATGACAGTAGAACGTTCTTGGGGTGAAAGGGTTATACCCAACTTTATTTCCACAGTGGCAGGTCAATCATGAGAATCTCGTTCACTCACAGCAAGTCTGTATGCAGCAAGTCGGTCTCTGCCTCTGGCCTTCTGTCCTTGGTGCTGCCACCACTCTAGCCTCTGCTCTACTCTCCTGCAGCCCTGCCACTGTGTAACCCAGAGCACTGGGCAGACCTCTTTATATAGTCAATAACGATGTATTGCCCACACCTGTGTAGTGAGCCAGGCAACCAGGGCCAGGTGAGAATCCTGGCCAAAGGAACTTTCATTTTATCCATACAGTAAAATGTGGATTATTTCCTTTGATTCTTTCAGATTTGTTGGTCATCCTAAATCTGTGGTTTTTAGACATTAGCTATATTTATGTTTTTGTCTCTGGGGACATGTGGTAGCTCATACAAATAACCTTGTTGGAGTTCTTGACCCTACTGGACACAGACTTGAAACTGCTATCTGTCCTTGTAGCCCTGGTGTTGTGCCCGAAGTCGCGAATCCCAAGGCGACCACCAAGGAGCCAACACAGATGCAAAAGCAAGGAGCCTTTATTCGAGCTAGCCCGAGCTCAATCTCACACCCGTGCCAACGCAGTGGCCAGGTGCCAGAGAGAGAGCAAGTTTTCCAAGAACAAAGGTTTTATGGGTTTCTAGGGCGGTTTGTAGCGTGGTAGTCGTGGCCCTGGCTGATTTGCTGGGCCTAGGGGTAGTTGGTGGGGTGATAGGTCGTGGCTTTGGTCAATTGGCAGAGTCTAGGTGTGGTGGGTGCACTTTTTGCTGACTGGAGGAGAGAGAGAGACCAAGCTCCGATTGGCTGAAATAGGATCCGGGTCCTGATTGGCTGAAATAGGATCCAGGTTCTGATTGATTGAAGTAAAACCCGGTCCTGATTGGCTGAGGTAGAGTCCAGGAGCTTGCCCTTTCACTGGCTCTCTGAAATTTGAGAAAGAGTGTATGGGGTGGGCAAGAGGAGACAAGGGTCCTAGGGTGGGATGGAGTGGTAGATAGACTTCATAGACAGTCTATATTAGGGCTTCTCAATTTATTTCATATCACAAACAAAATGCTAAGTTTTGCACAGTACACTAGGTTGCATAGATTCAGAGACGTTTAAGTGATGGTGAGAAAAATTCATAACATTTTCTTTAAATTATACAATTACAATGAAATACAGTGTATTAGGGAAGATATTAAATATTGAATTAAAATAAAACAAAATTTTGCACATTTTTTTAATGATGAACTTGAACTTGTTCCTGTGAATGTATTTTGATACTAGGTTTTGTGGTTGAAATAGCTTTTTGCAATTTCTAATCTAGCCTTTTTAATAATAAACTCCTCATATTCTGAATAGTAATTATCAGTGAGGAACTCTGATCACATAAGTGGGTGATAAAATATTTAAAACCATTTTATACGACCATTCAAAATTTACATTTGTAATTATATTTAAAGAATAACAACTCTTCTTTTATTGACAAATGTAATGTTGCAATTTCATGTGATAATGCAAATGGATTTCAAATCCAATAGTACATTTTTATATCAAAATTTCCACATTGAAACTCTAGCCTTCAGAACGTGCATGCATTGTCAACAGCTAGCCTGGGTACCAGGCTAAAGAATGCACCCTGTGAAGGATTGCAAATAACCATTATATGTAAAGACAAATACTAAGGACATTGCCTGTAGCTGAGCCTACCAGAAACCCCCCTCTTCCCAGGCTCCTCTCTCACCTGCTAACAGACTACCCTGAAGCTGTGTGCTGTACCCCTTGAGTATCTGGAACACAGACTTGTGCATTGGCTCCAGAATCTCTGGTCCAGATGGGCATGGGTGCTTTGCAGATAGGTACCCATGTGACAGGCATCTCCTTGGCCATGCATACACAGCAGAACTCTAATACTGACTGTTGTCCACAGTGCTTGCTGCTGCTTTGGTGTATACCCCAGACTGGTCTGCACAGGCTGCTTTAAGGAGACCTAAACAAGGCTGCTTATGGCCAGAGGTATTGGCCCAAAGGGCTCTGGCTTCATCTGGCCCCTCTCAACTGCCCGTCTCAACTGCTGGAATCAATTTCTCACCTACATTCAGGACACCGGTATGCCAAAGTCCACTGGTTGGGATGTGCTATCAGAATTGTGTGACTCATTTTATGAATGAGGATAGTGTTTTTCAGATCAAGGAGTTGATTTTTTCCAAGATTAATAGCAAATCATGGATAAGTCATAACTAAAGGAAAAAATAGAAATTGAATGAAAATATTTTGGACAGGAGGAAGGTAATTCTTAGAAGGGAGAAATTTTAACATCCTGTAAGCTTTGTTATCTGCCACCATATTTAGAATATGCCTATAGCTTTATTTTTCTAAAATCTTGGTTTTTAAAAAAGGACTGTATTAAGTAAAACACAAAACAAAACAAAAATCTCTCCCTCTCAAATCCTATGACAGATTCGACCAGAGTAAACAATGACTTAGTGTATACCCTTTAACATTTCTTTTTAGGTCTAATCAGTGCTTTAAGTATGTATGAATGTGTGTGTATGTATGTATATAGCCATATATGTATGTATATCCATATCTGTTTCATTTCCTCAAAAATATATCAAACTATCCAGATTGATCTGAAGCTTCCTTTTACCCCTGTTTAACAGACCAGTCATTTATTTATTTATTTTATTTTATCAAATGTATGTCACAGTAGTTAGTCCCCCTCCCTTGGTAACCACTAGTCACTTCTCAGAGTGCATGAGTCTAATGCTGTCTTGTTCCATCTGTTTTGCTTTGTTTTGCATGACCACAAATAAATGAAATTATATGGTATTTGTTTTTCTCCGCCTCAGACCAGTCATTTATTGAACAACGTGCCAGAATATTTAAACTGCTGGAAATTCATCATAGTCACTTATGTTACTGAACACTTACCATGTACCTTGCACTGTTCTAAGCACCTTAATGTTCCTGATCTCATTTAATTCCCCTAACAACCTTAGCAGTAAGTCCTATTATTATTGCCCTTTTTTCTAGGTAAATAAACAGGGCTCAGGAAATTGAGTAAATTAATGAGGGTCATAGGCCTTTCAACTAAAGAGCTGAGGTAAAATGCCATGTTATAGCTGTATTTAAGCCTTAATATTCTTGAAAGTAACATTTTTTAATAAGATTTTCTGGGGGTGGGGTAATGGGTGAAATGGGTGAAGGGGATAAAGAGGTACAAACTTCAGATTATAAATTAGTGATAAGAACGGAAATCTAATTTAGAGAATATAACCAATAATATAATATCCTGGTATGATAACAGGGTAACTACACCTAACATGATGAGCATTTCTAAGTATGTAATTATCTAGTCACCTATGTTGTACATATGAAACCAATATAATGTATATCAACTATTCCAATAAAAACTTTTTTTTAATTTGAAAAATAAGATTTTCTGTCATTCATGTGCATATTCACTGCCTTTTTAATTGTGTCTCCAGAGATACTAGAGTGCCTGGCTAATAGTAGGCAATTCATTTACTTGTTATAAATAAGTGAATGAACAATAAATGAAATATTTGGGGTTCCCTTCAATGCTCTGCAGGACCTACTGCATAGTTCGTGGGTCTAGTGCAAAATGAAAATGCACTGCCCCTTGTTCAAAAATGATTAAGAATTTCAGTGACATGAGTGCATTCAGCCAAACTAGGACCTTCTGAGCACAAGGCCCATGTGCTGAAAAGGTCATACACCCTTGAAGCTGGCCCTGGTTCCTAGTGTAGTACCCTGTCTAGAGCAGGCTGTCAATCTCTTTTGAGCAATTTATTCATTTTTCATTTTGTGAACTATTTCCACTTCCTCATCAGCCACTCATTTCTTATGTGTTCACAAGCAAGTTTCTGCCCCAGACTATGAAAATTCTTTCTCCAAAGTCGCAAATGATTATCTGTCAAATTAATTTCCCTATTGTAAACATTAATCCTCATGTTTTAGTCACTTAAGGACGCTTTAACAAAATGCAACAGGCTGGATGAATTAAAAACAAACATTTATTTCTCACAGTTCTAGAGGCTGAGAAAACTATAGGGTTCCAGCATGGTCGGGTTCCAGAGAGAGTGTGGGTAAAATTGCAATATTTCCAAAATCTCTCCTGGCCTTAGTGTTATCTCCATATCAGTAAGTGTTTCCAAGGGGTAAAGAGAAGTAGCCATGTCCATATCAATAGGTGATTACATGGGGAAGTGAGGGCATTCTGGACCAGAGAGGTTGGTTGGTTAGAGTCCCTCTTTGCAGACAGATCTTGAGAGACATGGATGAGCAGAAGTGGACACCTGCTTGTAAGCAATAAATGGATTTCTCCCACTTAATTTCTCCCTTTGGCAGATTTCAGCTCCAAAGGCAATTTGCCCTGGCCTGGGAACTTCTTTTCCCCTGGAGTTATATCTGATGGTAGTTGGCATGACCTCTGAAGCCAAAATCTGTCTTCATAGGTGCGAACCTTGGGTGGGCTGTCCCTAGAGATGGTGGAGAAATACCTGGAATCCCCCCATGGATGGTGGGGAGGCCCCAGTGGCTGCAGTGATGGAGGGTTCAGCTTTACCCAGGAGCCTCCTATCCATGGGGCTACCATTTTGGGAGCCCCTAGTGGGGAATTGGTCTAGGGTAAAGCAGCTCCTAGAAGGGTGGGTCTTCCCCCAAATTGGGGAAGGGTGGAGACACCAGAAGCTGTGGAATTAGCCCCGTGTGAGATAGAAGACTGCTTAGAAGCCCTGAGTGGCCATGTAGCATCTGAGATTGTGGGATATCTGCTTCTTGAGATAGTGGAAAGGGTTATCGAGGAGAGAGACACACTTTGGCGTTACTTGGAGGAGCTGGGTGATGACCTATGGAATGCCCTTGAGAAAGAGAGACACTTATTGAGAAGACAGGAGGTCACACTCCTGGAAGATTCCTTAGCAGCAGTGAGGGAGAAGGCAGTGGAAGAAGCCACATTGCAGAAGGTCATGAGGGAGGGGGAGGAAAAAGTGGTGCTATCAGCTCCAGAGATGGTAGAGGAGATGTTGGGAGAGTATGAAGGGGTGAGGCTGAGGGCTGATTTGTTGTGGAAGCCACCACCCGAGTCACCAGCCTCTCCTGTATTAAAGGCCCACCCAGTTATAATTAAAGTAAAAACAGAACAATCACAGGCTCCTCACGGGGAGGAGCTGCCTCCTCCCCAGGTTGTGGAGCATTCCATGCTCTGCCCCTATGCCCAGAATGAGCTGGTGGACATGAGCATCTGGTATAGGCAGAAGCCATCAGAACCTCTGCCTATGTGGCTTCTGTGTCTCTGGGATATGGGAGTGGAAAATATTGTTATGTTGGGTTCTGAAAGAGTAGACTGGCTTTCCTGATGACTCACCCTTCTCTCTGATAGCAGTTGCAAAATGCCCTCCGCACCTCAGGGAATTGGGTGCTTCTGGATTGGCTGACAGCAGCCATCAGGGCAGTTTGGCCTAATCAGGGTGATTTTCCATACTTACCCACTAGCTGGAATATGTATACAGAGCTCCAGCAGGTGTTACAGGAGCTGGGCATGAAAAATGTCATCTGTAATATGGACCCCCAAGGCCCTGATGAGTTGTTCAACATAGGAATCAGCTCCCCCATCTCTCTTTGGGTCCCTAGTGACAACTCTTGACCCGCCACATAGGGCAACCCATAAGTGAGGCTACTTGTACTTTAGCAGATCTCAGGAAGGTTGAAACAATAAGAGCACAGAAGGAAATATGGGCTGTGACTGAAAGGAGAGGTGCAAAGGGCCCCGTGAAGGTTTTGAGGACCCAGATGTGAGTTGATTTGGTAAAGGCTGGTGTACTGAAAGAAAAACCTTGATGGGCACCCCAATAGGAACTTGTTAGAACTGTGGCAAAATTAAAGCCAGAGCAGCAGTTCCAGCCACTGAGGTCCAGGACACATAAGCCGTAGGCAAAGCCCCATGTCCAGCAAGTCTCCCTGCAAGACTTTCTGGGGGACAGTACTCAGGCTCCACCTGGGCCCTCACCCCCACTAGCTGGAATATGTATGCAGACGATGATTGGGCATCGCGGTTCAACTGAGGGAGGGTCAAGGCCCCCACCTTGGGGGACGTGGTGGGGACCAGAGGCCACATGCAGAATTAGCAATACATTGGCCCCCTGTGAATGTGTAACATGTCCTGGCACTGGTGGACGCAGGAGCTGAATGTTCTCTGATTTATGGCAACCCTGAGCATTTTCCCAGGACCCCTGCTTGATAGATGGCTATCCTGGATAGATAGATAGAGTGAAGAAAACCCAAATTCCATTGGGGATAGGGCATTTACCCCCAAAGGAGTATACTATGTACATTTCTCCCATCCCTGAATATATTTTGGGGATAGATATCCTTCAGGGCCTGTAGTTACAGACCACTGCAGGTGAGTTCAGACAGAGGGTACATGTGGTAAAGGCAGTTCTAAGGGGACATGCTAAGCACCCACCTGTAGCTCTACCTGTATCTCAGCCAGTGACAAATACTAAGCAGTATAAGTTGCCAGGGGAGGGGGGGCACAAGGAAATTGGAGAAACTACAGGAGCTGGAGAAGATGGGCATCATAAAGCCCACTCATAGTCCTTTTAATTCCCCAGTGCAGCCAGTGAAAAAGTCAGATGGCTCCTGGCATATGACTGTGGACTACAGGGTATTGAATAAAGTCACACCCCCTTTACATGCTTCTGTCCCCACCATAGCAACCCTTATGAACACACTCAATCATGAACTAGGGATGTATCATTATGTTGTGGACCTTGATAATGCCTTCTTCTCTATTGACATAGCACAGGAAAGTCAGGAACATTTGCCTTCACATGGGAAGGCCAGCAGTGGACGTTCACCATCCTTCCACAGGGATACCTCCACAGTCCCACCATTTGTCACAGATTTGTAGTCCAGGACTTGGCCACATGGAAGAAACCACAAAGAGTGTGGCTGTATCACTACATTGATGATATTATGCTCACATCTGATTCTCTTTCAGATTTAGAAAGGGCAGCACCTAGACTGCTGCAACATCTACAGGAGAAAGGATGGGCTGTGAACAGCACCAAGGTTCAGGAACCTGGTTTGTCTGTAAAATTCTTGTGGGTTGTCTGCTTGGGTGAAACTAAAGTTATTCCTGAAGCAGTCATAGACAAGGTCCAGGCTTTCCCTACCCCTACCACTGTGGGAGTATTACAAGAGTTTTTGGGTCTTTTGGGCTACTAGAGAGTGTTTATCCTGCAACTGGCACAAATTCTGAAGCCCTTATACCAGTTCATACAAGAGGGCATCAGGTGGGAATGGGATGAGACATGTACAGCGGCTTTTACTGCTGCCAGCTGGGCAGTCAAGGCTGGACAGGCCTTAAGTATAGTAAACTCATCAAGGCCCTGTGGGCTAGATGTTCATATAACCGAAGATGGTATCCAGTCTTTGGCAGCGGCTTGAATGGACACACCGACCCATTGGATTCCTGTCACAACTATGGAAAGGAGCAGAGTTCCTATACACCTTAATAGAGAAGCAACTGGCTGCTGTGTACCATGCCTTGCTGGCTACAGAGCCCATCACCAGAACAGCTCCAACCAAGGCAATAACCACCTATCCCACCCCACGGGGTTGGTGCAAGACTGGACCAAAAGGCCACGGAATGGTGTGGCACAGATGCCTACACTGGCCAAATGGGGTGCAAATTTACAGCAGCATAATACCCTCTCTACTAGCTCCTTAAATGGAGAACTCCAACGCTTACTGGAGCCAGTGACCTATACCACTGGAAAGCAGAAAGAACTTGCTTTTGAGCCACTGGTAGCTGAGAGTCCTTATCAGGAAGGAAAAGCCCCTATACCTGAAAATGCTTGGTATACAGACAGCTTCAGTTGCGGGCAGCCCCCAAAGTGGAGGGCTGTGACTTTCCATCCTAAGACTGAGACAATATGGATGGAGGATGGAGAGGGGAAGAGCACCCAGTTGGCTGAGTTGTGGCAGTATGGCTCGTGATCACCCAGGAGCCCTCCCCTATGGTTGTCTGCACTGACATGTGGGCTGTCTGTCGGGGCTTGACCCTGTGGCTACAGACATGGTACCATGGTTGGTCACCAGCCCCTTTGGGGGCAAGAGTTGTGGCAAGACCTATGGGCCTCTGGTCAGTCTAAGACAGTTACCATATATCATGTGACCAGCCATTTGCCTTTGGCATCCCCAGGAAATGATGAAGCAGACACATTGGCCCAGGTGTGCTGGCTAGAAGGAAAGCCTGCCTTTGATGTAGTCCAAAGGTTACATCAGTGTTTGTTGTACATGGGGCAAAAGACAATGTGGGCTGTAGCCCATTGATGGAGCTTGCCACTGACCTTTGAGGAAGTCAGC